TTATTGTATTGTTAGCCGCCCAGAGTCGACTTTGGTCTAGCTGGGCGGGGTATAAATCTAATCAATCAATCAATAAATTTACATTGTGTGACTAATTTGATTCGTAGAAAACTTTTCAGCTCGCAGCAACCCAAGGCGTAAAGACACGGAAAGACGGAAGGGTGCTTATTTTGCAAAGAGATGGCACGAACCCTCTTCTCTCTCTCCACCACTTTTGCAATAACGGAAGCCAAAGCGAAAACAAGAAAATCGCCACTCCCTCACTCCCCCACCCCATGGCAAGAGTGACCCGAGGAAAAACTCAGGCTGACTCATCATCCCCTTTCATTCTCTCTCCCCCCCTGCCATGTCCTTCAGCCCCATGCAGGCACTGGGGACTCGGTGTCCTCGCTTCTCCAAAACAGTTTTTCGATACCACGCTGTTCTCAGCCTCGATGTGAACAGCATGATTTTCCTTTCCTTTCTGCACTCTTAAAACGATGAAGATACAGTACAAGATTGTCTCGTGCTTTTCCTTTCTGCACTCTTAAAACGATGAAGATACAAGATTGTCTCGTGCCGGGCAAAAACAAGTAGAACTTAATTTTATTTTATTTTTTGGCTGGGCTGGGCGTGTGAGACATCTCTCCTGTGAGTGGGAGGATGCGTGAAAAACACACACACACACACACACACACACACACACACAGAGAGACAGAAGAGAGAGAAAAAAAACCTTCCACGTCTGCTGTATTCATAGAGAGAGAGAGAGACAGAAGAGAAAGAAAAAAAACCTTCCACGTCTGCTATATCCACGTTCCTCTGATGATCCACATCTAGCAGGGTATTTGCTCACCCACCGTCCCACCTTTCGCCCCTCGTTCTAGTATAGGGAATATATATCCAAACACAAGTACTGAGATTTTTTTTTAAAACACACACACACACACACACAGACACCTAACTATGACATTAACCTATATTGGATGCAATCTGTTGAGAGATACATGCAGGAGTAACAGAATACAACCCTGCCAGGGGATCGCCGGCTTAATCCCTTTTCAATATAGCATCATCTCTGAGGACAAAGGTAGCCAGAACATAAAATATCACATGGGGCTGAATCATGACATCATGGGCGAGGCCTCTTAAGGCCATCAAGTCCAACCCCCTGCTCGAGGCAGGAATCCAAGCAAAAAGCAGATCTGAATCTAAATGGCGAATTACCCACTGGCGTAAGCACCATGTTCGAAACTGTGACCGGCAGGGACTTATTAACTAACGTGGCTGCTACGAAGTAGCCCTCTTAATAATCTTAGAATAATCACCTTAAAACTGCAAGGCGGGAAAGGACCCCAGAGATCATCAAGTCCAGCTTAAGGGGGGGGAAATCGAACCCCCAACCTCTGGCTCTGCCACTAGGTGCCTCAACCTCTGGGGTGTCTACCCACTTGCACGATCTGCTTTTGTTAATATAGCCCGAGATCCTCTGGGCTTTGCCAGCTGACCCAGTGAACCACACCCCTAGCATTGCTCCTCGTTAGTCACCATGCCATGGTCAAACTAAAACCGCTCCTGCCTGCTTTCCCTCTAAACGGTGAATCTTACAGAAACAGCCGTCTTTGAAAATGAAGGGCGAGCGATAGAGAGATGCATTTCTATCTGCTAGTGGTCCTGTCCGGCTTGGGGTCACATGAAAGAGGTCTCGCCTACCTGTTCATGGTACTCGATGCCCATGCTCAGCGTATTGATGAGGATGGCGATCATAATCCCCCGGTTGAAATACTTGCTGTCCACAGTCTTCTTCAACTTATCTCCAAACGCTGACCAAAGTTTGGTGATTTTATTCCTTTCCTTGGGTGGTTTCTTTTTCTTCTTCTTCTTGTTCCTCTGCTGCTGGATCTGATCCCTTTGGTCCCCGTGTTTAACGTCCTGCGTGAACTCGTACACTCCCGTGTTGTCGTCGCCCGACTCATAGCTGTCTGTCTCGCTGAACTCGAACTCAGAGTCCTCTAAGATGCTGGCGCAGTACGGGCAGTTCTGGAGCTCACAGTTCAGCATGCTGGCCTGCGGACCTGGCAAGGGACACGGCGTGTTCAGGCCGGACAGCCGGCTGGAGGTTCGGCAAAGACCTGCGAGGGAAGGCAGTGGGGAAATATGAACGGAGCAGCCTTCGGTTCCCCCCTCCCTGACCTGCAAATTCATGCACCAGATTCGCAAAAACCACAAGTTCTGATTCAAAGCGGCCAAGTGAGCCAACTGTATGAATGGATTCGGTTCTGGGGCATGAGCAGCATCGTATGATTCACCATTTGCTTCAGCCTCATGATTTTATAAAAAGGAACTTTCAATGGTGCCTAGCGCAACCCTCTAAAGCACTGGTTCTTAACCTTGGGTTACTCAGGGGTTTTGGACTGCAACTCCCAGAAGCCTTCACCACCAACTGTGCTGGCTGGGGTTTCTGGGAGTTGCAGTTCAAAAACATCCGAGTAACAAAGGTTAAGAACCACTGCTCTAAAGGCAAGTTCTTTATCATTTAGAAGAAAGATAGCTCAAGATGAAGAAAGTGATGGAAATTTAGAAGCTATGTGTATGGAAAAGCCTACCACTGATCTGTGGAACTCACTGCCACAAGAGGGACTCTCAGCAGATCAGACAAATTCATGGAGGAAAGATGGCGAGGGGGCTATGAAAGGGCCCCTTGATTCTATCAACCAGGTTTGGAGGACCCATGTTTCTGGATGCCCATCACCAGGCATCCACTATGGGAGTGGACTATGGCCTTCAGGACCTGTTTTCAAGATTCCACTTTGGGGCATCTGGCCACAACTGTGGGAAGCAGCCTTTTGGGATGCGATGAAACTTTGGCTCCATCAATGGGAGCTTCCAATGTTCTTGCATTTTCAGCATTTTTGGTCATCGTTCTGGACTCCCCTTTGGGTTGATCTATCCCTGGGTCTACACTGCAGGGTTATAGCTGCTTGATAGGGACCTTCGCCGGTCCATCCAACAGCAGCCTGGGATTCATAGTTTGACCTCTGGCATGCTCACCTGAAACAGTGAGCAGAGAATTAAAAAATTAACTACAAATCCCAGAATGCTTTACGTCGGAACCGTGGTTGTTAAACGTGATCCCCCACAGATCTAACTGGGCGGCACAGATGGAAACGCTCAGAGCTCTCCGTGGTGCTGAAACAGACCATTTTTTTTTGCTTTCCGCCCTGTGACTGGCAGGGTCCTCAGACAGTTCTTCCTTACCGTGTTCTCCCACCACCTGATGCAGCTTTCCATAGGAATCCACATTCAGATGCACAGGGCTGTTGACCACGGCCACGGGAGTGGCGCCACCACTGCCTCCGCCGTTTTTCTTCCCTTTGGGCGCCGGGGCGAGGCTGGTTTTGCTAGCCGGAGAAGGCAAGATGGTGGGGTAGTTCGTGTTGCTACGACTAGGGAGTTTGATGCCCGCGGGGACGCTGGAAGACTTGCATTTCCTCGGGGCACCTTCCACGTGGCAGTCGGCGTGGTAGATGCTGTGGACGGACTCCGAATCGGGGGCCGCCGCCGCCGCGTTCCGGAGGCTGGGAGACGACAGGGGAAGCATGAGCTGACTCCCGTGCTTCATGACGTTGAGCTCCAGGTCCCCCATCTCAGAGTTGGGGTGAGGGGGCCCCTGGGGGCTTCCATTGCTGAGGTGATAGTGGTGGTGGTGGTGGTGGTGGATGAGATGGTGGATGGAGGTGATGTGTTTTTTGCTCCGGCGGCCCGGCCCGGCGGCCCCGCCGTCCGGGTCCACCTTTTTCCGCCGCTTGTTCTGCCAGTTGTTGTACAGGCGCAACGTCCGCCGTTTGACCTTCCTGAAAATGTGGCAGATGTACTTGAGGAGTTCCTCGTAGCAGCTCCCCGGCTCGGAGAAGCTGGCGATTGTGCTGTCGTTGGAGAGGTAACGGGCTCTCTGCTCCTGCATCAGCTGGTTCTCCCGCTGCTTCGTTTCGGAAAACTGTGTTGCTATCACAACCAGGCACAGGTTAATCATGAAGAAAGATCCAACCTGCAAGGAGCGGGGAAGATGGGAAGGGGAACCCAAGGAAAATTGCAGGAGTTGCCATTTGTAACTCACGCGGCACATTATTCAGAAACAACGCAGTGGCAATTTGGAGATAATATAATTTGGATATGCACGCCTAACCTGAAAACTCATCCATTGCAATTCAGGAAGAGAATCCAAACAGACTTGTTAAATTTCATATTCGGAAATGGAAGACGGAAGGGACACAGAACTGGTGATACTTTTTGGAGAAAACACCCCACAACCCTGTCAGTTCTTGGTGTTTTGTTTTAAATCAAGAGTGTAATACAGTATATACTCGGAGGCCATTTCGTTTCTTTAGCTTTTGTTCTGCTGTTCTTCTTTTCTTTCTGTTCTGTGTTTTGTTCATCTGGAAGCAAGGCCTGAACTGGCCGGCTTTGGAGCTGAGCTAGGCCTAGCTCCTCCTGGCTTCCTGTTCAGAAAGAAATCTCCCAGGGAGCACTGGGGCAGGAACAGGAAGCTTGGGCAAAGCTAGGCCTAGCTCAGCTTCAGAGCCTGCTGGCTGAGGCCTTTATCTCCAAAGTGAGCCATGTTTAGGCGTCTATGACATGTCTGCCTGTTATGTAGAACTCCAAGAGTGTAGAATTGTGGGGTTTGTAGTCCATGAGGTCCAAAAACCCCATCCTTGGCCCCAGAAATAGAGCAAGAAAAGTTCATGGCTTGTGGTAGAAAGTGATGGTGTCTCCAGAGCTGGGAAAGTCCCTTTTCTAGATAACAAATTACAGAAACTTCTAGCCAGTACAGTGAAGGGTCATCTTGGCTATAGGATTCAGGGAGCTATTCTCCAGAAGAGTGGTTCTTAACTTTGGTTACTCGGATGCTTTTGAACTGCAACTTCCAGAAACCCCAGTCAGGACAGCTGGTGGTGAAGGCTTCTGGGAGTTGTAGTCCAAAACTCCTGAGTAACCCAAGGTTAAGAACCAGTGGTCCAAAAGATGAACTTTTCCCCAGCTGCACTGCAGCTCAAGGGGAAGGAGAATCTGCTTCTCGAATGCTAGTGTTTCAGATCCGTTTCTGGAGCGACAGCAGAAGCTATCAGGGCATCTCCTGGCCCTAGTGAGTCAGGGGTGGAATGACAGCCAAGGTGCCCAGAAGACCCCCAACAACAGCTGACGTGAACACCATGTGACCACCTGCCCAGGTCTCTGCCCCAGTCCCCATACTTACTATTATAAGTAGTATAAAATATATAAAATTGTAAAAAGAGTGCGCGTCCATGACGTAATACATGATGTCAACCCATCCTTCCAGGGTTATAACCTGCAGCGGAAAGAGACAGAAGAGGAAGCCATGTCAGAACACGAGCCTGAAGAGTTTGCAGCCCATGGCAGGGCTTCGTGAGCAGTGGGCCAAATAAAAAGCAGAGATCATTTGGGTTAATTGGTTCTCCCAGGTGAGAAGCCTTCTGTTGTGGCTTGTGTCTAGTTCAGGGATTAGAAGCCTTCAGGGTTTTGGACTACAGCCCCCAGAATCCCCACCAGGCTTGGAAGATGGGAGCTGTAGTCCAAAGTGTCTCCCACACATTGATCCATCCATTCTGATGGTGTGGGGTTTTTTTTGGGGGGGGTGCAATGGGGCTTCCATGGGATGAAAGTGGAGGGAGGGGAGGAGAGGTGGGCTTAGGGCTGCTTCTCCCTCTTTACTTACACCCATGTCTGGTCTAGACCATTTCGGGGGAGCAACGCAGGAGATGTCCCAGAGCAAGCCAAAGGGGACGATCCATGGAACGAATCCCCACCTCCACTTTCGCCTAGTATCTCAAAGAACTTTCTCGGGGTGGGTTCCAGGAGGTTTGCACGGCTTTCCGATTCCCAGTTGCTTTTTCTGAACTTTAGTAGCCGATTACTAAGCCTGCACTACACCAATACCTTTTAAAAACCAGCAGTAAACAGCCCCATCTGTTCAGAGACCGAACGATCCAAGAGGTGTAAAAATACCCCAAAGCCTCGGAGAAGTTAGAGTGTTCATTAATATTCCATGACACACCTGGGCAGCTCAGTCCATGGATCACAAGGTCTCCTTGCTTTACACGGAAGCCAGAGCTCTTTACATCGGACAAAGTTTCAAAGGCTGCATCCTTACCACAAGCAGGCGCACCCCTCTGGCGCTATCGGTGGAGTTTGTTGGCTCTGGCCCACAACGCCTCCAACCCCACCCCCCACCCTCCCGTGGTTTAATTGGGCACCTCGTTCCTCTGTCCACCAAGACAGGAAGTGCTGCCCTAACAAATCATTCCAAGCTGGCATTGACTTTGTAAACAGATACACACAGATTAACGTCAAACTGTCTGCTGAGGTCTACAGCGGCCGCACAAGGACGGTAGAAAAGCCAAGGTTTCCGGAAGTCTGCCTGTAGCAAAAAAACACAACCCCATCTCGGCTCCATTTTTTATTGCGGTAATGAGCACGCCACATGCCACCAAAAGGCTGGCCTCGGGTTCCTCTGGAGTTTACGTAACCGCGACAGCCGTGGCAGGAGCATCGACCCACCCGGAGTTAGGAGTTGCCGCAGAAGCGAGCGTGTTCTCACCCTCCGTTGGGGAGCATCAGAAAGCCTCTCCTGACCTTTTCAGTTTAGAGCTTGGCCATGTGAGTTTTTTTTTTTTTTTGGACTTCCGCCTCCCAACGCCCAGGCAGCAGCGCCAGTGGGGGATTCTGGGTGGGGTAGTCGAAGAACAAGTTTGCCAAGCTGGGTCGGAACATGGTGACCAGTGTCCAAAATACAGCTTTGTCAGACCCAAAGCGGTGAAACATCCCCTAAGATCCAAATACAGTCATGTCCCGCTTAACGATTGCCCCGCATTATGACGAACCTGCTTTACGACAATGTTTTTGCCTTAACGATTGCCCCGCATTATGATGAACCTGCTTTACGATGCTTTTGTGATCGTCAGGTTTTCAAAATGGCCACCGGGTGCTTAAAATGGCTCCCCACTGTGCTTAGGGATGGATTCCTCACTATACAAGCACCGAAAATGGCTGCCATATGGAGGATCTTCGCTGAACGGTGAGTTTTTACCCCATTGGAACGCATTGAACGGTTTTCAATGCATTTCAATGGGGTTTTTAATTTCGCTTTACGATGTTTTCGCTTAACAGCGATTTTCCTGGAACGGATTATCATCGTTAAGCGAGGCACCACTGTACGGGAATCCCACCGGCTCCTTCTCCTCTGCTGACCTTATTCCACTGAAACCATAGTCCATTGTTCCCTCCGTTATTTGGGAGCAACTCGTCAACACCATCAAAACATTCATTTTTCCAGTAAACCCAAAGGTCAAACTACACATTACGCCTTTTGAACGCCTGCACGACAGGCCCCTTCCAGCTCCGTGATTCTAGTCGCTGATTCTAGAGCTGAAATCACATTACATTCCAGGAATGCAATTCCGGAAGATGCTCGTGACTCAGCAACAAGCTTGCGAACAAAGCGGGGGGGGGGCTGTGACCACCGGCAAAACAAAGCAAAGTAATTTGCCATTTGTGTGCAGCTCTTGCTGTGGCAATGAATGAATGGCTTCACCAATTAAGAAACTCCCTCTTTAAGGGAATTCCCTCCAGTTGAGGAATAACTTAAAGGCAGGTTGCCTACCCCAAACAGTTCACCTTAAAACCATAACCAAGTTAGTTTACAATTTAATATAAAGAAAAATAATGTCATTCCTTCTGCGGCGTAACCATAGCTAATTTTTTAAAAGTTACATTTATAGCTTCAGGGTGTGTGAGTCCTCACTATAAACCAGCGGCTTATAGGGATTCCAACCTCTTTCTAAGCAGCAACAATACAAGAAAGAGTTGGGTTACTTTTGAATAATGAAAAGGTAACTGTAAGTATAATAGTAACTACCTACGGCTGGACCTTGGAACTAATGTCATGGAGGCCCAGCCGGGGAATTGAACTTCCAACTTCTGGCTCCACAGCCAGAGACCTAAACACTTGATTATTGCCTTTTTGAATGCTCCTGCTCCACCGTCTCAGCTAACCTGCATGAAGAAAGCCAGCCTCTCTGGGTTAGAATCTTGCATGCTAGCTTTCCATCTTTCCCCGCCCCAAGGGTGAAAGCCCAGGGACAGCCTTAGAACTCACGAACAGGGAGAGCTTCCAAAGAGGGTTTTCTTTTAACCTGCCCGCAAAACATGCTCCGAAGATGTGCTCTAAGATTCCATTACTGTCCTTGCCGGCGCCACGGTTAAATGTCTGAACAAGGGGGGGAAATGCTTTAATTAAATGGCAAATCAGTGCCGAACGGGTGTTTTCAATCTCTCTAAGCTGTGAAAAAATGGAGGGGGGGGGAAGGAAGAGAAAGTAACGACAGAGAGGAGCCAAGGACTTAATTAATTTCATGAGAAACAAGCTGTGTTAGAACCCAAGAGCTGCTTGTTAGGAGACAGGAGTTTTCCTTGACAGCCGCACGACGCGCATCCCTGCTCGCTCCTTGCACGGTTAAACAATCGGGCTGATTAAAAGACTCCGATTAAGTGCTGCAGATCATCGTCGTTCTAAACGCTTCCTTCTTCGTGAAGGGTTTCGTCTGGACCTTGGGAAAGTGCCAGGTTTTTTTTGGGGGGGGTCTATAACTCTCACAAGCGTTCATGCCAGCTGGGAGATTCTGGCGTCGCTATTCCCAAAAGTCACGTACCAAGGCGGGGGAGGGGAATGTTTGGGCCCCTTTTTCAGCCAACACGGTTCCCCCGCTGGATTCAGACTTGCGAGGTCCAGGTTCCGGTCTCTGCTGAGCCGCAAAACGACGACCCAGGGGCAGTTGGTCCCTTAGTCTGCCCCTCCTTGCAGGGATGTTGTGAGAATGAAATAAAGAGGAAGACAGCTATGAAAAGGAGCTCACCGGGGAGGGGACCCGAGTCGCCAACCCGCTGTCCATTTGGACTTAAATTACACTGTTGACTTAGACTCAACTCTTTTTTTTTGTTGCAAAGACTCGAACTCGACTCCTGACTTGGAACCCCACCCACCTTTCCTTTTTTTCTGGGGGGGGGAAAGAAACAACTTGCTTTTAATAGAGACTCAGACTTGGGTCTTCGGATGCAGAACTTGGTACCAAAGGCTTGCCAACATCCCTGGGGTTCGCCAGAGGAAGGGTCTGTCATGAATGTGGGCGAGTAATCTGGAGACCGTGATGTGTGTGTGTGGTCTCCCAGGCCACCACTGCTCCCCTCACAGCTTCCAATCCCTCACGATCGTTCACCCTTCGTTCTGCGTGCCTCTCCAATCCGCGAGAATTTTGCTCACGGCCACCGGCTGCCATTCTTGGGGCCTCCGTGGAGCGTGCTTCTCGTTTGTGCGGCTGCACGTAGTACCCGAGGCCAGCCCACACCTCGCTCGGGAAGCCAGGCGGCTGCCAGAGACCCCCTGCTTTGGGAGTATTTGGAGGCTATCCATCCTCCCTTCCACCTCTCCTCCTCCTTCCTCCTCCTCCTTCCTTCCTCCCTGAGATGGAACTTTTCAGAGCAGGCCTGGCTGGAACAGCTGCAGGAACAGGTGGCGCGTTCCCTCCACGCACGGCGGTGAAAAATGAGCTGAGGGACCCCCTGAACACATTGGAGATACCTCTTCGCAGAACATTTGCTCAGGAGCAGGGGACTGGCAGACAGCGCCAGAGCGGGAGACACACGGAAAGCCATTAAATGGGAATCGGCACTTTACGGCGAGGAGTGACTCGAATCCGTATGATTATTCTTAGGGTGGTTGTAAGCATGTTTCTGTTTCTTTGTTTGTTTTCGACTGCCGGCAGGTTCTTTCAACCTCTCGGCTGATGGTAGAAATTTAATCACAGCAATCTTACAGGAGAAGGAAAGATAAAAATGCAGGTTTTGCAGGACCAGTTGCTTGGGGGTAGGTGGGTGGGGAAATATTTCCTTTCAAGGTGAGAACAGTGCCCTCTGCGTTTCACCTTGGATCAGAATTCCCTCGATTCAATAGTTTGTCTAGAGTAACTTTGGAAAAGTTACCTTTTGGACTACATCTCCCATACTCCAGCCATGCTGATAGGGAGGATGGTTGACCCTATGGATCATGGGGTCCAGCCCCAATCAAAAAGGCACGGGGGGGGGGGATCAAAAGCCCAACCTCTGGTTCTGCAGAGAATCGTCGTCAGAAAGTGCAAATTACTTGACAAACCATTGCAGAATGAGCGTATCCTCTGTGCAGAGAGTGAAGATGTGTTTCTAGAGGTATGCACGAGGGCTGATTATAAACCTGGGGCTCCGATCCTCTCTATGGGGGTTGCCTTGTTAGCAGCCTGC